AAATTAGAAACTCAGGTTTTTTTTAAGTGTTTTGCTGATTCTTGTCTCATAGCGCAAGGAGATTTTTGTTCAGGAAAAATGAAGAAAAAAAAAGTAACAAAGATTAATTCTAAATCCTGAAGTCTTCAGAAAAGGGCAGGATTGGGTGGAATGCTCCCAAAAAGACAAGGAGGCTGCATCTTCTGACATCCTCTAACCCCACAAGAGGAAGACAGAATCACCATCAGTAACCCAAGGCCTATTCCTGTGAGGCCAGACATGCTGCCTTCCTCCAGCCCTTTCACCAACCCTGACACCAACTGTTCCTCCTACAGCACTTACCACCTCTCTGCTGGGTTCAATAATTCACTGCAGCAGCCACATAAAACTCACAGATTATGGGGTTTATTAGGGAAGCAACAGGCTACAACTGAAGTTCAGGAACACTCTCAGTTTCTCTCAGCCCACTGTCTCTCAGCCTCTCTCCCAGCAGTGCATGTCTCTCAGTGCCTCTCTCAGAAATGGGTGTTTCTTGCATCTCTCTCTCAGCAATGTGAGTCTCTCATGTCTCTCAGCAGGGTGTGTCTCTTGCATCTCTCAGCAAGTACATGTCTCTCAGGAGTGCGTTTCTCTCAGCAGCATGTCTTCCTCAGCCAGCAGTCAGAGAGACTCCTTCTGCCTCTAGGAGGGCTCCTTTTGAGCCTGGTAGAGTACCCAAAGTAACCAATCCCAACATCAGAGTTCTACACACCTGAGAGAGAGCAAACTTCCCAGAGATTGCTTCATGCTGCTCACAACAGAAATACCCCAGGTAGATAACTTTAACAATCAGGAGATACTCAGTTGCTCAGGGAAAATTTCACCACAGAGTTTACAAAGACTTATAGCTAGAAAAGCCACACCATGTAATTTACTACACCCCAGATTCTTTGCAGAGGTAGCTTTGGGAGGAGGTAGCATTATAGTGCAATTAATAGGTTTAAGAGCTGGACCAAACAGAATCAAACTCCTGGCTCTGCCACATACCTGGGCACGTTTCTTACCAGTCTACATCCTAATCACTGAGAAGCTAATGAGATAAAATATGTTCACTGCCAACCACAGTACTTTCTACCTGCTAGAGACTCATTCATACTATTCCTCTCTTCCTTCTTTTTCTTCCCACTTCTACAGGGCAGAGCAGAGGACACACCAAGAGATTTAAAAAAAAAGAAAGAAAAAGATGCTTAAGAGGGAAGGTGGCTGGACACCAAAAACATTTTGCCAATTTTGTCTGGAGCCCTAATGCCTAAGCATAAATGAAGATCATGTCACATTGCCAGTTCTACACCTGTGCCCATGTACTATCTCCAGAGACAACTTTACAGCTGGGGAAATGTTAGGATGTTTGCCCAAAGCAGAACTAGTGGGCAGCCAGGTTTCAAGTTCCAGAAGCTGCTGGCCCCTGAACTGAAGGAAATGAAATTGCTGGTTGCAAAGACTTAAAAGGAAAGAGTTTCTTTCATCTGATTAAACAAACAACAAAAACAGCATGCTTTTAAAAGGTAAAAATATTGTATTTATTAACAACTTTCAGCTGTAACCTTGTAGACCAGGAAAAGGGGTAAAAGGAAAGCTGTACTTGAAAACCAGCTGACAGCTCTTCCCGCCTACAGAAAAAATTAGTAGCATAAGAACACAAGAAGATCCTATCTCTTTCAGGTTTTAATCCTTCATTGTAAACTTTTCACTTCTATGATTTCCACAACTCTAGAGATTAGTCACCAAGGCTGTTCACTTAACTGGAAAGCAGCAGAAGTGACTGGGTAGGTCTAAGAGGACAGATCATTAATTGGAGAGACTACCAGAAGTGAACAACTGCTCCTCTCTATCTCCTTTCCAGACCCTAGCAATCTTTAGCCAGAGCAAACAGCACAGGAAAGTAGCAAGATCCCTGAATTCCCTTAAGCTGAAAACAATCTCAGTGAATAATAAATAACAATAATCACACATTCTAGGACCAAGGGTAATATATGAAGGTGGCAAGAAGAGAAACGTCTTTTCTGTTTTCAAGGTTACTTATTAAGTGGAAAGGAGCTCTGGTGGCATAATGCCTAAAGCATCTGACTGCTAACCAGAAGTTTGGAGGTTCAAATCCGCCAGCCACTCCATGGAAGGAAGACTGGGAAATCTATTTCTGTAAAGATTTACTGCCTTGGAAACCCAATGGGGGTCGCTATGAGTCAGAATCTACTTGATGGCAGGGAGTTTGGTTTTTTCCTCTTTATTAAGTGGAAACTAATTATTATTTTAATCATAAGTGCATTTTTGTTGGTTTGTTCACATGAAAGTATCTGGGAGACAGACACTTAACTCCAGTTCTGGTGTAAAACTCAATGCCAATTTCCGCAGCGAGAGAGAGGAATTAAAAATGTTATCTGCGTCTGTGAAAAGCTTTCATAAGAAATTTCTAGTCAGAGGACTGAGACATCATTTATTTTCCTCTATCAGGAATTCCAGCTGAAGGAAGAGAAAGGACTTTGGAAACAAACAAAAAAGAAAATTTGCTAAAATACAGGGCTAATGTTTTGAAAACAAATGCACAAATATAATGCAAAATGAAATCTGACTTCAGTGCCTTTGTGTCAACATTAAAGTAACAACAAAGGGGAAAAAGGCAAGAATTTTCTCCACATGGACTTTATGTTTTGGAGAAGATTGGATGTGATTTGCATGCTTGGCATCCTTCTGCCAAAGAAGGATTTGGATGCTTTTGCAAGTCATCTTTCAGAAGTCACCTGTGTTCACATCATTTCTATTGTTCCATATTTATGCACCATTGCTCACTTCACACTGCTTACCAAACAATTTATGGTAATTTCATATTTATTACAGTTTTCACAACAAAGCTGTTTCAAGGTATTCGTGGCTCTGAAACAGAACTCCCCACAGGAAGCAAATCAGATACAAATTCTCCAGCTCTACAGAACTACCATTTCTGTTCAAATTAGCAAGTCTCAAGGTGAGAGTAAGAGAATTTTGTTTTCAAATGGAGAGTGATAAAAATGAGGGGAAGTTAACAAAGGACATACAAACTGAAGAAATACCATCTAGTATCAACTTTGCAAAACAGCAGAAGCCTATGGATTCAGGGCAATTGAGATGAGGTTCAAAGACACTGATTCAGGAAGTTACAATGATAGTTAGAAAAGTAGGCTTTGGAGTCATGATCACATCTTATCTCAGTTCTACTAACTGTGTGACCAATAGTTATTTAAACTTTTCTAAGCCATTTTCACCAGCCACTTCTTGGAAGGAAGACTTGGCAATCTACTTCTGTAGAGATAGCACCTGGGAAACTCAAGGAGGGGTCTTTATGAGTCGGAACTGACTCGACAGCAGTAAAGTTGTTCTTTTGTGGGGAAGCCCTGATTTGGGGAACATAACAAATATCGACACCCTCATCATGGGATTATTATCCAGATTAAAATACACACTTAACCACACAATGTTCTTAGTGCCTTGTCAGCACAAAGTAAAAACTCAATACATGGTAGCATCATCATGGAAGAAAGTCCTACTTCTTGGTAGATCTACTTCTGTAAGATTATAACCAATAAAAACCCTATGGAGGGTGGTTCTGTGAAAGTTGCCATGAATCAGAATCAATTTGACCTCAACGGGTTTGATTTTCGGTTTCACTACTGTTATAGGATGTTGTTGTTATTATCATCATCCTAACAGCTTGGAAACCCAAGGAGGGGTTGCTATGAGTTGGGTCCAACTCGACGGCACACAACAACAACAACAACAATGGCACATAACAACAACAACAACAACAACTATCAATGAAAGCTCCATAAAATCAGTGATTTTTTTTTCTCTAATTTTGGTTACTGCCAAATCTTAGCAGTGGCTAGCATATAACAGGCCCTTACACATTTGACAATTTATGAAAACAAAAGTATAAGCTTTTTCAAAATAAAGAAACTTGCTATCACCAAGTCCATTATTTTCTAAAACCTTTCTCAAAATGTAACCTCACAGGCTTGGTAAGATGCTGTAGTGTCCATTTGAAATAACAGTTGTTAAAAACCCACATTCTTTTTGTGTTTTTAAGTAGCTGTGGTAGTTAAGGTTGTGTGTCAACTTGGCTGGGCTGTGATTTTGAGTGGCTTGGCAGCAAGATGTATCAACATACTGAGATTGGATGCAGTATAACCAACACCATGGTAGAATCTGCTATGAGCCATTAATCCATTGATTTTAGGGTGTGGCTTGATTCCAAAATATATGGAGAAACTTTGGGAAAGCTCTCTGGCATTTTGGCACATTTTGTGCCATGTTGCCTGACAATCTTGGTATTGCTTCTGGACTTAAACCAGTGGCCTAATGTGCTGCCTGCTGATTGTGCCATTTTACCTGATGATACTGGGTTCATCAGCCTCAGCAGCCGGTAGCTGCATGAATCACAAGAAGCCTCCAACTCCAGTGCGCCTAGAACAAGAGGCAGCGATGAAGCCCAAGGTTGAGGGGCTTTCATCCAGTCCCCACAGCCAGCATTCTGAATTCAAATTTATAAATTCCTGTTTGTTAAAGCCACCCACATGTGGTAATTCTGTTACTAAACCAGGAGCGATGGTGGCATAGTGGTTAAAGCATACAGCTGATAACCAAAAGGTCAGTGGTTTGAAGCCGCTAGCCACTCATAGAACAAAGATGAGGCAGTCTGCTGCTGTAAAGATGTATAGCCTTGGAAACCCAACGGGAGTCTCTATGAGCCAGAATTGAGTCAATGGCAATAGATGTGTTTTTTTTTATTTTGGTTGTGCACACAGACAGCAACCACACTAATCTTAAAACCTGAGTCAAAACATCTGAACCAAAATCTCTCTTCATCGTCTTTGGAGACATTATGGCTGTTACTTTTAATCTGCAGGCAAAGCAAATAGGGGAAGAACATCCTCATGGTTTGCTTCACTCAAAGTAAACAGCCATTTAAGCTAATACTAGTAAATCAATTTTACTTAGAATTTTTCTCTCTAAAATATAAACGTTATCAACTTGAATGAACCAGAGAAAACAATAATAGTCATGGTCAGGTGATCTGGTGTACTAAGTTTTGGTGTGTTGGGAATATGCAAATAGCACCACTCTGAAATGAGAGTATGTGTTACCTTTGCAGAATGCTCCATGGTGACTACCACTTTGGTTTTGGCACTGGACACTAAATCCATAGCACCTCCCATTCCTTTCACCATCTTTCCCTGTAAAAGAAACAAAACAAAACAAAACAAAAAAATATAAAGAAGCTCCATATATATGACTTCTCTAGTGTGTGGGAGAATAAAATTAAGTTACAAAAGTGAACTACTGCAATAAGTAGTGAGAAAAACTCATTTACCTCCTTGTACTTGAAGCTTTATTAGCAGAACTGCAAAAAGTCCTCCGTCTTGTAGAAGACTTTGAAACTTAAAAATCTCTTATTCTATCATTCCATGCTTGAATGAAGGATAAAGTTCAGATATCACTTTAATGAAATGTTACTTACTATTTGATGATATGTTACGGATAAGACAATCAGAAATTAAGGTAAATCTTAAGAACCTTTCCAGAATTGTACTTCATTATCATTTTTTTAAAAATATTACATTTAAATCCACATACCCTTGACATTTCTTTCTTTTCGAAACACATAATCGGCATCACTGACTTTTCAATTACAGACATTTTCTAAAGCACTCTCATGGATTTCCTGCAGATGCAATGCTATTATGTATTAGGCTGAGGTACTACTAATGGCATTTCTCTAGTAATGATTAATATGGAAGGTCTATCTGTATTTCTAGTACCTGGCATTTATTTTCCTCTTAGAAAAACAGAGAAAATATATCTTCCTGTTAAAAGAAAAACAGAAACAGAGTTCAGAATACTGTCACAATTACCATTCTATTTTTAATCATGTGTCCACAGCCTCATTCATTAAAAATCTAGCAACCATCTATGTGCTACACACAATAATTTTCATTGGCTTCTTCACCTCCTGGTTACACAGCTTTAGAAAAAGCAAATGCTTCAAGAAATGATGATACATAAATTCTTAAGTGTGTTGTTAGGTGCCGTCGAGTTGTCTCTGACTCATAGCGACCCTACGTACAGCAGAATGAAACACTGCCCAGTCCTGTGCCAGATCCATGATCCTTGCTGTACTTGAGTCCACTGCCACTGGCACAGTGTCAATCCATCTCATTGAGGGCCTTCCCCTCTTTCGTTGACCATCCACCTTACCAAGCATGACATCCTTCTCCAGGGAATAATAGTGCCTACTGACAACATGACCAAAGTATGTGAGATGAAGTCTGGCCATTCTCATCTCCAAGGAGCATTCTGGCTGCACTTCCTCTGGGACAGACCTGTTAGCTTTTTTAGCAGTCCATGGTACTTTCAGCATTCTTCGCCAACACCACAGCTCAAAAGCATCAATTCTTCTTCAGTCTTCCTTATTCATTGTCCAGCTTTCATATACATATGAGGTGATTGAAAATACCATGGCTTGTGTCAGGTGCACCTTACTCCTCAAGGAGACATCTTCGCTCTTCAGCACTTGAAAGATGTCCTCTGCAGCCAATTTGCCCAGTGCTATACGTTGTCTGATGTCCTGACTGTTGCTTCCATTGGTGTCAATTGTAGAACCAAGCAATGTGAAGTCTTTGACAATTTCAACCTTTTCTCCGTTTATTGTAATGTTGCTTATAGGTCCAGTTTTGAGGAATTTTGTTTTCTTTATATTGAGATGTAATCCATACTGCAGGGTGTATTCTTCAAACTTCATCAATAAGTACTTCAAGTCATCCTCACTTTCAGCAAGCAAAGTTGTATCATCAGCATATCGCAGGTTGTTAATGATCCTTCTTCCAATCCTAATGCCACATTTTTCTTCATATAGTGCAGCTTCTCGGATTATTTGCTCAGCATACAGATTGAATAAGTATGGTGAAAGGATACAACCCTGACACACTCTCTTCTTGATTTTAAACCATGTAATGCTCCCTTTTTCTGTTTGAAAAACACCTCCATATCTATGTACGTGTTCCTAATGTCTACAATTAAGTGTTCTGGAATTCCCATTCTTCTCAATGTTAGCCACAATTTGTTATGATACACACAATCAAATGCTTTTGCATAGTCAATAAAACAAAAGTAAACATCTTTCTAGTACTCTTTACTTTGAGCCAAGATCCATCTGACATCAGCAATGATATCCCTAGTTCCACATCCTCTTCTGAATCCAGCTTGCATTTCTGGAAGTATTCAGTCAATATACTGATGCGACCATTTTTGAATTATCTTCAGTAAGATTTTACTTGCATGAAATATGAATGATATTGTTCAATGATTTCCACATTCGGTGGGATCACCTTTTGCTGTTGTTAGGTGCCCTCTAGTCGTTTCCAACTCATAGCGACCCCATGCACAGCAGAACAAAACACTGCCGTCAACTCCTGGAGCCTTGTCCTTCGTCAATTCTTTCATTGCATCTTTGACTTCCTCCTTCAGTACCATTGGTTCTAGATCATATGCCACTTCCTGAAATGTATGATCGACCAGTTCTTTCGGGTACAGTGACTCTGTGTATTCCTGCCATCTTCTCTTGATGTTTCCTGCATCATTCAATATTTTGCCCATAGAATCTCTCAATATTGCAAC